ATATGTGACGAAGTATTTTGCCCCATATCGGGATGTACAAGCTTTTGTACAAGAGCTCTTACGACTCTTCACGTATTGCCCCCTCAAATTGTCCCATAGAAATACACTGATCTATAGTTGGCTGTTTCCATAATAAAAAAAGGAAATACCATGACCTCTTCCATTTCAAAATATCGTCACGTCCAGAAACAATTATCGTTTATAAGATTTGAAAGTGAGAGGTCCACAAAACTCATCTCACATAAATTAGTGTAGTAGTTTCAAACTCTTTCTTCTTAATAATAGTAATTAAAAAAAAAGTAAAATTAAGTCACTTAGTATGATGGTTTAGTAGTATTATTCTTCACTTGAAAGCAAGAGGTTTTAAGTTCGATTATCGTAAAAGGCGAATTTGAACCATAATATTGCTAGCCTATTGTAAGGCTTAGACCACTCTCATTTCTTTAATGTAGAAAATATCGTTTGTTAAAATAAAAAAATAATAAAAAATAAAAAAGATACAATCTACTCTTTTGATAAATAATATCAATACTATTACATTACAACGTAATAAAACGTCTTACACTAATTTTTCATTTCCTTCAAATAAATTTTGCATTTCACTCTATTTCTTTGACATAACTCCGCTTGTGTAAGTTTATCTTACATTGCCGATCCCAAGCCCAAATAAAGGAGGAAGGGGAGGGCACTTCTAGGTTACATCGAATCCTTATAAAAATGAATCCAGAACGAAATCGCGCTAAAGCTAGGGTGTCACCCTTAAGTGGCGCGCTGTGTGGCCCTAACAGAATGATAAATGAGCAAGGGTCGTTGTATCTCTATCAGCACCTGGATGCAGTATTACATGAGCAAGGGGGTCATAGAAACTTCTTTTTGAACAACTCCTGTCACATCCCCGCCTGGGGCGAATCACTTCCCGGGCCCGCTCCACAACTGTAGCACGATATTGTCCGCTTTGGGCCCCGACCACGCCCTCACGGTTTTGTTTATGGGAATTCACGAGCAATTTCCCAGTGAGTCACTCATCCTAGGAGTGCTCTGACCCCCTTTTTGCTTAACTTCGGAGTTCCTACGGAACCCAAAGCCAGTGAGCTCCCAAAAGGCATCGTGCTAGGTAGAAATGAGAATATACATATAAGGCTTACATGATCCACTCCCCTGGGCGATGTGAGATGTTACAATCTACCCCACTTAGGGGCCCGATGTCCTCGTCGGCACACTTCCGGGCAATGATTGGCTCTGATACCAAATTGTCACATCCCGACCTAGGGTGATTCACTTCTCGGGCCCACTCCACCACCGTAGCACGATATTGTCCACTTTGGGCCCCAACTACGCCCTCACGGTTTTGTTTCTAGGAACTCATGAGCAACTTCCCAGTGGGTCACCCATACTGAGAGTGTTTTGGCCCCCTTCTAGATTAACTTCGGAGTTCCTACGGAACCCGAAGCCAGTAAGCTCCCAAAAGGCCTCGTGCTAGGTAGAGATGAGAAAATACATATAAGACTTACATGATCCACTCCCCTGGGCGATGTGGGATGTTACAACTCCACTCAAAGTTGTTTGAAAGCATAAGCAGGACTTTACACAAAACACACAAAAGAAGTACTTTGATCTTATTAGACGGGGGAAGGTGAAGAAGCTAGGACAAAATGGTAGAGTTCAAGAGAGTAGAATGCGTTTAGGAACGTGGAATATATGAACCTTAACGGGAAAATCTATAAAAGTAGTGTAAGTTATGGTGAGGATAAGTATTATGTGCCTACAAGAAACTAAGCGGGTTGGTCTTAAGGCAAAGAATCTAGAAAACTCAGGTTTTAAACTTTGGTATTCGGGCACAAATAGAACGCGAAACAGTGTTGGCATCATCGTGGACAAGACCTTGACACAAGATGTTGTAGATGTCAAGAGAGTAGGAGATAGAATTATGACAATCAAGAATGTGATAGGACAAGAACTCATCAATGTGATTAGTGCGTACGCACCTTAAGTAGGGTTGGATATGAGTTTGAAGGATAAATTTTGGGAAGATCTTGGAGACTTGGTGCAAGGAAGTGTTCAAACGGAGAATGCATTTATAGGATGAGATTTAAATGGACACATAGGCAAGGAGACATGCAACTATAGAGGTTTTCATGGTGGCCATGGATTTGGAGAGAGAAACGAGGACGGGGAAGCCATCTTGGATTTTGCAATGGCATATGATCTCTTCTTAGCCAACAATTTTTTTAAGAATAAAGAATAACATGTGATCACCTACAAAAGTGGGTCGACAAAAACACAAATATATTTTCTTCTAATGAGAAAAAAGGATCGTATAACTTCTAAGGATTGCAAAGTTATACCGGGAGAGAGCTTGACTAATCAACATTGCTTGTTGGTGATGGATGTACATATCAAAAGAGAGAGAAAAAAGAACAAGACCTGGAAATGCCCAATGACTAGATGATGGAATCTAAAAGGAGAAAAACAAGCTATTTTCCAAGAGAAAGTAATCCCTCAATGCGTGTGGGATAGAGAGGGGGAAGCTAGCCGAATGTGGGATTCCATGGCTAGTTGTATCCAAAAAGTAGCAAAAAAGGTATTAAAAGAGTCCAAGGGCTTTGTTCTACACCAAAAGGAATCTTGGTGGTGGAATGAGGAGGTACAAACAAAGGTGAAGGCTAATAAGGAATGTTGTAAAGCCTTATACAAGGATAAGACCGATGAAAATGGTGAAAGGTATATAATAGCGAAGCAGGAGGTGAAGAAAGCTATGATAGAAGCTAAGTTAGCGGCTTATGACGATATGTATAAGCGACTAGATACCAAAGAAGGAAAGTTAGATATCTATAAACTAGCTAGAGTAAGGGAAAAGAAGACAAGAGACCTAAACCAAGTGAGGTGCATCAAGGATGAGGATGGAAATGTTCTTGCTACAGAGAACGCGGTCAAAGACAGATGAAGATGTTATTTTCATAATCTTTTCAATGAAGGACATGAAATGAGTACTTCTTTGGGGGAGTTGAGTAACTTAGAAGAGCGTATAAACTATTCATTTTACTGCCGAATCAGGAAGGAATAAGTGGTTGTAGCTTGGAAAAAGATGAAACATAGAAAAGCAGTGGGCCCAGATGATATACCGATCGAAGTGTGGAAAGTCTTGGGAGAGACGAGTATAGCATGGCTCACATGCCTTTTCAATATGATTTTGAAAATGAAGAAGATGCCAAATGAGTGGCGAAATAGCACTTTGGTGCTTATCTACAAGAATAAGGGCGACGTACAAAATTGCATGAACTATAGGGGTATTAAACTGATGGGTCATACAATGAAGCTCTAAAAGAGAGTCATTGAGCATAGATTGAGGCAAGAGACACGAGTTTTGGACAACCAATTCGGGTTCATGCTAGGGCATTCAATTATGGAGGCAATCTATCTCTTACGAAGATTGATGGAAAGATATATAGATAAGAAAAATGATTTACACATGGTCTTTATAGATTTGGAAAAAGCTTATGATAGGATCCCAAGAGACATTCTTTGGAGGATTTTAGAGAAGAGATGAATACGAGTAGCATATATTCAAGCTATAAATGATATGTATGATGAAGCAAAGACTGTCGTAAAAACTCATAAAGAACAAACCGAAAGCTTCCCCATAATTATAGGGTTACATCAAGGCTCATCCTTAAGTCCTTACCTTTTTGCATTTGTAATGGATAAGTTAACGGGACATATTCAAGATGATATTCCTTGGTGTATGCTTTTCGTAGACGATATAGTGTTGATAAATGAAACTTAGGAAGGGGTAAATGCAGAGCATAACCTTTGGAGAGAAGTGTTGAAATCTAAAGGTCTTTGCTTAAACCGATCAAAGATATAATATATGGAGTGCAAGTTTAGTGCAAATGGAGACCAAAATTAGTTAGGGGTGAGGATCGGAGATCAGGAAGCACCAAAGAGCGACCGCTTTCACTACCTAGGATCTATCTTGCAAAAGAATAGAGAATTAGACCTCAACCATAGAATACAAGCTGAATGGATGAAGTGGAAAAGTGCATCCGGCGTATTGTGTGACCGCCATATGCCACTGAAACTCAAGGGAAAATGTTATAGGACGACAATAAGGTTGGCGATGCTGTATGGTATGGAATGTTGGGCGGTGAAGTATCAACACGTACATAAAATGAGTGTAGCAGAGATGAGGATGCTTCGTTGGATGTGTGGGCATACGAGAAATGATAAGATTAGGAATGAAAATATTCGAGGTAAAGTAGGAGTAGCCAAAATTGAAGGAAAAATGAGAGAAAATCGGTTACGGTGGTTTGGACATGTGCAAATAAGGCATACTGACGCTCCGGTTAGAATATGTGACTACGAGACAGAGGTCCAGGGCCAAAGGGGTAGAGGAAGACCTAGGAAAACTTTGGAAGAGACTCTAAGAAAAGATTTAGAGTACTTGGATCTAACGGAGGACATGACACTGAACCAAACGCAATGGCGTTCTATGATTCATATAGCCGACCTCACTTAGTGAGAAAAAAGTTTTGTTGTTGTTGTTGTTACTCTATTTCTTTGACATCTTCAGGAACAGTTTCTTTCATACAAGTTGTAACATGTAGAAGAAATATTAAAGAGATTATTTCAAAAGTGAGATACTCCATGAACTTTTAGCAACGTCATGTTTTTTTGGCATAATCCGTAACAAAATTATAAAACATTGTACCAAAAATATAAGATGACAGGATGACGGAGATTGCAAAAAGAGACCACACCACAGTACCACGCCAAAAATAAAATGAATAAAAAAATAAAACCCTACTGTTGAAGTTTCCGCGCCTCAAATCTTTGGTTTTGAAACCCCGGCAGCGTTCTCTCCCTCCACTTCTTCCCGCCTCTCGCTGCTCCCACTCCCAAACCTTAAAAGGCCCCTAAACCTAACCCTCCCTATCTCTCCAAACCACCACCAAATCATACATTTCTCTCTCTCTCTCTCTCTCTCTCTCTCTCTCTCAGCCATGAAACGCCGATCTAGACTCCACCGCCGGTCCTCCCCCAACCGGTCGGCCGAGCCATTTCTCAAATACCTAAAGCCCGGCGCGCTCGCCCAAATCCGAGACTCCCGAATCAGCAGGGCCAGATCGCACCAGCTCAACTGGCTCTCTCAGATCTGTGTATCGCCGCCGTTATCTCCGGGCCCCGACGCGGGTCTTCCCCAGGCCAACGTGATGGAGGGATTCCCTTGCTTCTCGGGTCGGATCTACGGCCCCAGATGTCCCCAGCGGAAGAAGCTTGCGGCGTCCAAGTCGGTTATGTTCCTCAGTCCCTCGAGCCCGGTTCACGACTCTCCCGATCCGATAATCGATCTGTTTAGTACGGACATTCTTGCTGCACATTGAATTGGAAATTGTAGAATGTTCAGTTGAACCATTATTGTAGATGAGGCTTTTTAATTTGTAATTTATGTGGTACTTTGGTGGACAATTGCTTAGATACAGCTGAGATTATTAATAAAATTTACTGAAAAGTTCCGAAACAATTGCTTTTCGAGTGTTGATTTATGATTTGGGTGTTGAATTGCGATGCGCTTTAACTGTTTGATGTTTTGCGTTCATTGGGTTGTCATTCAATTGTGATGGCTTCATAATGTTGTGATGAGTTTACCCGAATTGCGGTGTTTTGACTGCTTAAGCCGCAAATCGAGTTATTGTGTGTGAATTATGTGTCCTATTTTCCTTAGATGGGTTTTCGTCCTGGGATAATTCTAAGTAGGTAGTAGTGATATGGCTTCTTTGGTATGGTTGTACTCCGCCGGATGGCTTTAACTGTTTGACGTTTTGCACTCATTTGGAGTTGTCATTAAATTGTGATGGGTTCACAATGTTGTGCTGAAATTACCTGAATTGTCGTGTTTGGCTGCTAACGGTCCATCTTGTTTGCGCGGTAAATTGATTAATGTGTGTAAATTATGTGTCCTGTTTTCCTTAGATGGGGTCTGGTCTCAACACAAATCTAAATCGGCAGTGTGATAAGGAAAGACGGCTTCTTTGGTATGATTGATGGTCATTTACATGAATCCGCGTTTCTACTTGGCGTTGTGGTTTGCATCTTTGGTAGTAGCTCATGTGTTTTTTTTGTCTGCGCAATTGATGCAAGTCCTGTAGTGAATAGGTTATGTTCTGATATGGTCACTGCAAGGGGAGAAAGATTGGAGACGAAAAGAGTGTTGAAATCTCTTCCCATCAATGCCTTCCCTTTATTTCGTGTTTGTAGTTGTAGTTAATTTCCAAATGTATCATCAACTCTAGAGAGTTTTCGGCTTCCTTGGATGCAACGCTACTTGTATTGACTCATTAACTCTACTAACTTTTTAGTGCAGATCATTCAACTCAAAGACGCAATAATGTAGTGATTTGGTTTCTGATCTTGGTGCCACACAAGAAACGCTTTAACTGTTTGATGTTCGGAACTCATTTTGTTTACGGCTGAGGTTCCACATTGTGATTGTTGACGTCTTAATTTGTGTATCTTGTTCATGCCGTAAGTGGAGTTATTGTTGCATTCGATTTAGGGTAGTGCCGAATCTGCTGATGAAGAAAGAGGGCTTCGAGGTTAACTCGTATACATCGGTGACTTTTTAACTGCTGCTATTCTTGCCTATACTCGTGGTAGTGATCACTTTTGCTTCCATGTTCTTTCTCAGTATCATTTAGATTGCATCCTGTCGTCCTGTCAAGGAATTGTCCGAGATAACTGATCTATTTTCCGGTGCTTCTTGAAGACCGGAGCCATACTGTATGATTTTTACTTACTCGTTTTCATCGGTTCCACTCAGCAGAGTTGCAGCAAGGTTATTGGATGCAGTTTCGAGAAGTAATTCCTCTTCGTCTCTGTTAATTCGTTCTTGGATACAAATCCATTGATGTAGTCCTTGTCCTCTGACATTGCTCATGTTTATACTTCATGAGCTATTGTCCGAGTGTTGAACCACTGAAAGAGCATATTTCATGAGCCGCGCCAAACACTCCTATAACTGCACATATGATACCTGAGAAATGTTAAAGAGACTCTGTCAGAAGTGAGACTTTTTTTGGACGCTTTGACATCTCATGTTTTTTTCACAATGTTTTATAATGTTGGCACGAGAATTGACGTTACATTGTGAGGTGTCAGAGAGTCCATGAAAAATCTCACTTTAAGAGTCTCCTTAGCATTTCTCTATGATACGTAGGTTTAGCACCATTAAACGCCTTGGGAGGGACTCGAACCAAGGCATTGGGTGAGGAGGGAGTACCTTCCCCCTGCAGGATATTGGAACATCAATTTGGAAGAGATGATGGAAGCAGGAGTTCATTTGGGTCATGGTATTCAAAAATGAAATCCTATAATGGCACCTTATATCTCTACAAAGTATAAAAGGCATTCATATTATAAATCTTGTTGGAACTCCCCTCTCTTTATCTTTATTTGGTGTAATTACTTGAGCTGGATGAGAGGAAACTTTAACGTTCGGTTTTGAAAGGGGAAGATCCTATAGGATCCTATCCAAAATTTTATTTTGCTAGGCCCATCGCTAAAGGGTTTATTTTGAATCATTTGAGAGTTATACTTAAATCAATAATATATGATTTTGATAATTTTATGTATCTATTTGATATTATGATTCTATATATAGACATAATTTAAAATTTTCTCAAGCTGTACGAAAAGAAGATTTTTGAGACGATCTTCACACTCATTCATATTTAACTTCGCTTTTATGTATGATTTCATATTTTTAACTTCACTACCATTAGCAAACGTTCCCTCGTTTCCCTCCCAACCACTACAAAAAAATAAAATAAAATGGAAATGCTAACGACACCGTATCATGCTAACACACCCTCGCCACCACTGTGTCAGGCTCTGCGTAACTGCTAAGCGAATTTTCTGTAGTCGACAGAGAGCAAACAAACGAGCATCAATGGCTGAACCCAAAACCAAATACGATCGCCAGCTCAGGTACTCTATCTCTCTCTTCCCCTTTCCCCGTTTTTCCCTCCACCATTCCCCTAATTCTCCAAAATCCCACTCTCAACTCGTTCAATCCTTTTCGCTAAAGGTTTAATCCTCTGTTTGTTTACACCCATTTGAAATTGCAGAATCTGGGGCGAGCAAGGGCAGACAGCCCTAGAGAAGGCCAGCGTATGCCTACTGAATTGTGGCCCCACCGGCTCCGAGACCCTGAAGAACCTTGTTCTTGGCGGGGTTGGAAGCATCACCGTCATCGATGGATCTAAAGTCGAACCGGGTGACCTCGGAAATAACTTCATGGGTATGTTTAATTTTTGTTTTGGTCAAATGGGTATGTTTTGAATCGTTGTTTTCGTGTTTGATTACTGTTTTTTGAGTGTTTTATGCATTTTGGTAGTTGATGAATCGAGCGTTGGGAAATCGAAAGCGAAATGCGTTTGCCAGTTTCTTCAGGAGTTGAATGATGCCGTGAAGGCGAAGTTTATCGAAGAGTATCCGGAGGTTTTGATTGAGACTAACCCATCGTTCTTTTCTCAGTTTACCTTGGTTGTGGCTACTCAGGTATGGGCTCTCTACTTATCGCCAATGTATTGCATATAGTATGCTTACATATTTTTGTATGACAGCTTGATTACCAAGTTTTCTCCTTACATTCCTACATTCTCATTACATTGTTTTTTTAGGCTTTTTAGTCAAAATGGTTCATAAGATTTGCATAACTCATCACTTTGGTCCTTGAGATTTGAAATCAATAAAGGTGGTCCTTGAGTTTATCCACCATCAATCGTTTTGGTCATTCCATGAAAAATTATATTAAATATGGATCAAAATGACAAATTACTCTCAATTTAATAAACAATGAGTCAAATGATTAGACAAAAATTAAGAGTATTTTTGTCATTTTAGCCTTATTTAATGGAGATTTTTCATGGAATGACAAAAATGATTGATTGTGGACAAATTTAGGGACTACTTCTGTTGATTTCAAATCTCAGGAACCAAAATGATGCGTTATGCAAATCTCAGGGGCCATTTTGGCTAAAAAGCCTCCTTTTTTTTTTTTTTTTTTTTTTTTTGAATAATGAACATGTGATGTCGGTACACTTGTAAAGATAATTTGGTTATATACTTTCCCCAGGTCTAGGTCTTTAGTTTCTATTGGGATTATTTGTGTTTTCGATTCCTTTTGTCGCACTTGTTAATAGCAATATCCCTGATTTTCTAATTTGAACCATCAGCTAGGGGAAAGTTCAATGGTAAAGCTTGATAGAATCTGCAGGGAGGCAAATGTGATACTGATCTTTGCTCGCTCTTATGGCCTAACTGGGCTTGTCCGTATCAGTTTGAAGGTAATGCTGTTTTTAGATTTTTGTAAAAGCTGTTCTCTCTATCTTGGAATTACTATTCCAGAATGTGAGCATTTGAGTTTTTATCCTCCAATTGGTGAGAGTAATGAGGGATGAGATATGATAATCTATAGCCGTGTCCTAGTTTGAAGCTTGATAGTGTAATGATGATAGGTGTTTCTCTGATTAATTACATCATAAAGAAGCGGAATATGCTTGCTTATAGGGACATGGTTTTGTTATCCAAACCTATAATTTTATAAATATCTAGATGGCAAGGTGAAAAATGGATCTCACAGAGTTATGTTTGTAATATTTTTCTTTGAATCTGAGTATTACTATGTTCTCCATTTTCTCTACGTTTTTTTGGGGCAGGAGCATACTGTGATTGAGTCAAAACCTGAACATTTTCTGGATGACCTTCGTTTAAATAATCCATGGCCGGAGCTTAAAAGGTATGAAATTCTATTTTTCATATTTTCATCTGAGGCATTTTCAGAATTACTTATTCGGATTTCGGATAACTAAGTATTTGCATGTGTATTTTATGCTAATTTGCTTTTGCCTACATGAGCTGATGACTAGTATTCTGATTTCTTAGCCTATATGTCCGTGTTCAATAATATATGCGTAATTCCTTTTGTTTATTTTCTAGATATTGAATCTATTATTTATTGACAATAGGTACGCGGAAACTATTGATCTGGACGTGTCAGATCCTGTTGCCCACAAGCACACGCCATACGTCCTCATTCTTGTCAAGATGGCAGAGGAGTGGGAAAAAAATCATGATGGTAAACTTCCATCAACTAGGGAAGAGAAAAAAGAGTTCAAGGTTTACATGCTTGATTCATACATTTTCTGTTCATTTTTATTTTCTCAATTGCTTTCTAGTAAATACATTTGTTTATTTCCTTGTGCTCTTGAATTGCTTAGGAGCTTATTAAAGCCAGGATGACTGCACTAGATGAAGATAACTATAAAGAAGCCATTGAGGCCTCTTTCAAAGTCTTTACTCCACGAGGAATTAGTAAGTGTATTATTTTCAAGCTTGGTTGTAGTTTTCCAGTATATTTCTGCAGAAGATGCTATTGTATGTATAAATTTCCAAGATAGGCAAAATAGTCGTCACTTACGTTTTGCAGTTTGAATGTTTCTTCATGTTAATGAAATATTTTAATGTTTTTGCTAATGACTGCTGCAAATTGAACTTGGTTTGAGTACATGCATGGATGCCAGTGTGGCAGGCATGCTTGGTAAACTGTTATATCCTACTCTCACTCCAATGGAGTTGGGGTTGGCTTGGCATTGTTTCGGAACAAAGAGAGTTTATCCACCTTCCCCCTATCATTAACATAATATAAGTAATCTGGAAAGAAAATATAAAATCATCCATATTTGCTAGAATACTCATACATCTTTGTAAACTTTGCGTATTGCACTATACTTCTTTGGAGGTTCAGATCATACTGTGGTTCAGCCTCGAATATTGATGTTTGAATATCAGTCCGACTGTACAAGTGGTTAATTCTTTTTTTTTCTTCTCATTTTGTCTTAGGTTCTGACTTGCAACAGGTAATTGAAGATAGCTGTGTGGAAATAGATTCCAGCTCGTCTGATTTTTGGGTGATGGTGGCAGCGTTGAAGGTTTGTGACTTTTTCCATGACCTCTGGATATAGCATGTTTAACTTTTTTTTTGTGTTAAACTGAGAGTGCTCAGAATAAAGTGTTTATCACCATAATGCATATCTTCTAGAGTTTCAAATAGATTCCTCTTTTCCTGATTTGGTACACAGGCCCTCTGTTTTTCTCCGGAAAACAACAGATCGGGCCTAGAAGTTTCGAGGCTAAAACTCTGATTATAAAACTGTTTACCGATAGTTAGTGTAATTTTTAGGCAATTTAACGCCAATCATGCGCATTTTGAAGTCATAGCTTTGAACCCTGTTCCTACATTTTAATGGTAGATTGGCGGATTTTATGTGAAATACCCAACATGATCGAAGGGAACATGTTTTCAGAGTTCTCATGCCGAGCTTTTCTTCCTTGAATGGTCAACGCAGGAATTGCTCGACTAGACATTTTAGCTTCCGTTATTAGAGATTTTAGCCATCTTACAATGGACATGTGTGTAGCTTGCCAATATTTTTAATTGAGAAAATCACATGCTTATAATTAGCTTGTCTATCCAGATCCAGATCCATTCCATTGTCAATTTTTCAAATAGTATAATCAGAAATCTTCACTTTGCAGGAATTCATAGAAAATGAAGGTGGCGGCGAGGCACCCCTCGAAGGATCAATACCAGACATGACATCTTCGACAGAGTTAGTGACCGATCTTCCCAATAATTCTAGTCTTTCTTTTGTTATGGTTTAAAAATAATAATTGTTGATGCAAGAGTTCTATCTACCCTCTTGTAGGCACTATATATCTTTACAGAAACTCTACCAAGCCAAGGCTGAGGCTGATTATCTCGTTATTGAGCAAAGGGTTAGGACTATTCTGAAAAAAATTGGTAGAGATCCAAACAGCATCTCAAAGACAACCATAAAAAGTTTATGCAAGAATGCAAGAAAACTCAAAGTAAGCGTTTTGAGTTCCAATTTATTGTGTGACTTACCTATATCGCTTCACCAGTGCTGCAAGTATTTCGTTTAATTGTAAATGTGGATCGAGAAATATTCATAAGATTTTAATTTCACCTACCTTTTTAAAATATATTTTCACCTTTTTTAAACTTTTGTTTTTTGGGTAAGGAATCTATTTGATTCTGTCTTCCATGGGCTTACTCTTTGTAATTTATTTTATTGCAACTATTTTAGGATTTTTAATAGTTATTCAGTGATGAAATGTCGTTCTGTGATGACTGTTCCTCATTTGTGGATTCATTTTAGACCATAAGGTTTGCAAACCGTTGGATGTTAGATCTGAGGCATCTCTCCAGCAGAAATGTCTTTTACCTAAGGATGCAGTGTGCATATTAGGGCTTGATCTTGTAGTCTTTCAGAATCATTTTACTTAAGCCTCTTGATTTTTGCCTAGCTGACTTCAATTGAACACTAATCTTTACTTTGTAGGTTTGCAGGTATCGCCTAGTTGAAGATGAGTTCAATTCTCCAACCGTACCAGAGTTGCAGAAGTATCTAACAGATGAGGATTACAGGTACATTACGATTTTGTTACTTTGGCTTCTAGTTATATCGTTTGTAGAATTATTTATTTCATGGGACAATATATTCTTGAAGATCTGAACAATAAATATTTCAGAATCCTTTTAGTTAATTTTGTAGTCAATTAAAGGAACCGATACTTGGATGCTGTGCTATGCTTATCCGGTTTAGAACGTTTGCTAATTGTCAAGTAGAAGTGGCAAAGGAAAAATGATTACATATAACTATGGTTTTGTCTTGCTTGAAGTTCACCGTTGCCCTTTGATTTTCATGACAGCGTAGCCAGTGTGTTTTATGTTTTGCTTAGAGCTGTCGATCGATTTGCTGCCAATTACAACAGTTTTCCTGGGCAATTTGACGGGTAACACCTGATACTGTTTATGAACATATTACGGTACAAATTTGTAATATTGTACTGATTTTGCATGTTCACTTTCCCCGTAGTTTAATGGATGAGGACATATCTCGATTGAAGACTACCGCTGTTGGCCTGCTTAATGACGTGGGCTGCAATGGCGTAACATTAACTGAGGACCTTATCAATGAGATGTGTCGATTTGGTGCTGCCGAGCTCCACGCAGTCGCTGCTTTCATTGGAGGAATTGCATCTCAGGAAGTGATTAAGGTTTGTGTTTCCAGCTCTGCGTCCTGTGTAGGTTAGTGATATCATACCGCTACTTAAACTGACATGTACTTTTCTGACACTGTTACTGACAGCTTATAACAAGACAGTTTGTGCCCTTGTCCGGAACTTTTGTCTTCAACGGCATTGATCATAAGTCTCAATTGTTGTCTCTGTAGCGGGCTCCAAAGCCCGAAATGATATAAAACGACGGTAAGTTTTCACCTGTAAACATCCCATATCTAGCATTTATAGCTTCTATTACATCGAGCTATACTCGGTTTTGGTTTCCATTTGCAGATGACCTTTTATGATTGGAGTCGGAACAAGTTTGATCTTACACCGATACGCGCTATTGATCGGAGGCTTCGTTTCTGTAGTTGAGATTGGGCAGTTTGCAGTGAAACGTGATTTTGTAGTTCTGTTTCTCGTTCCATTATCCTGGATAGGTGAGAGGCAGTAAAAAATAAAGGGTAAGTGTGAGAGAGAGGGAGGGAGAGAGGGAGAGAGTGAGACAATCTATAACAATTGACTTGTCAATTCGTTATTAAATGGAATTGTTATTAAATTATGCCCAAATACAGCTTTAATCACTCGACTGGATTTATAATATTTTGTTTAATCTGAACCGATCATCTTTTAAGTTATCAATGGAAAATCAACGTGCGAAAATTTGCTGGAATCGAAAGTATTTAAATTTTATGTGGCTTATCAAATGCATGTGTAATTATTTCTCTATACTAATCAAGTGAACGAAATTGTAATAAAAAATACGCTGTGGTCGCATATTGTCCCGACTAGGTTTAAAATGATCGAAATAATTTACAGTTTGGAGAAGAAAACAGATTAAACTCCTACACAAAATAGGAAAATCCAGTCTAAACTTAATTCCATTAGAAGAGGGATTCTCACAAGTTACTAGATAATAGTCCTGGTAGGTTGCCCCGTAGTGGATTAGTGACACGAGAGTATCTCTTCCAACTATAATAGAAAAAGGAGATTACTTGAACACCAAGAAACTTACAAACTATAAATAAATAGAACTCTTAAAACACAAAACGAACTCATCGAAAACTTGAACTCTACGCTACCTTGATCTTCAACTTTCAAAATTCACAACCAAGCCAAACCGATCAATCAAACAGTCAACAATGGTGTTGGCGGAATTAGGAGGGAGCATATCCCGTGCCCTCCAGCAGATGATCAATGCGACGGTGGTCGACGAGAAGGTCCTGAACGACTGCCTCAACGAAATCAGTCGCGCTCTGCTACAGTCCGACGTCCAATTCAGTCTCGTTCGCGACATGCAGATCAACGTTAAAAAGAATGTCAATCTGTCCGATCTCGCTGCCGGTCACAACAAGCGCAAGATCATTCAGCAAGCCGTGTTCGATCAACTCTGCCAAATGCTGCAGGATCCATCGGGGAAACCCGATCAGCTTGTGCCGAAAAAAGGGAAGAAACCGAGCCAAGTTGTAATGTTTGTTGGTTTACAAGGGTCTGGAAAAACCACAACGTGTACAAAATACGCGTATTATCATAAGAACAAAGGCTGGAAACCTGCCTTAGTTTGTGCAGACACATTCCGAGCTGGCGCTTTCGATCAGCTCAAGCAAAACGCCGCCAAGGCTAAGGTTCCGTTTTATGGAAGTTACACAGAGACGGACCCTGTGAAAATTGCGGTCGAAGGTGTGGAGAGGTTAAAAAACGATCAGAGCAATAGTTTTGATCTCATAATTGTTGATACTAGTGGGAGGCACAAGCAAGAAGCTGCTCTTTCCGAAGAGATGCGTCAACTTTCCGAAGCAATCAGTCCCGACCTTGTTGTGTTTGTTATGGATGCAAGTATCGGACAATCTGCATTTCATCAAGCTCAAGCGTTTAAGCAAAGCGTTGCGGTTGGAGCTGTTATTGTAACGAAAATGGACGGTCACGCAAAGGGCGGCGGTACACTCAGTGCTGTTGCAGCGACAAAGAGTCCTGTTATATTTATCGGAACAGGAGAGCACACGGATCAGTTGGAAGCCTTCGATGTGAAACCCTTTGTCCGGCGTCTGTTAGGCATGGGGGACTTGCCTGGACTTGCGAACAAGATTCGCGAAGCTGTTCCGATGGATCAACACGAAGACATATTGGAAAATATTTTACAGGGCGGATTTACGATAAGGACCATGCAAGTGTTGTTTCAGACCAAGCTAAAACTCGGCACACCTAACCAGCTCGCTTCGATGCTCCCTGCAGAATGTACGAGCCGGTTATTTCCTGCAGGACTCGGCGATGATCAGGAAAATCAGAACCAGATGAAGCAGTTCTTGGTCATGATGGATTCAATGACTGCTCAAGAGTTGGACAGCCCGAACCTAAAGGTAAGCGAGTTGCGGAGACAACGGATAGCAAGGGGTTCTGGTCATGAAGTTAGACAGGTAGAAGAGCTGATTGAAGCGTGCAAAGCTGTTAGCAAGAATTTTAGCAAGGGGAGAGCGCTGCTCCGGAGTTTGAACAGCGGCGACATGCGAGCGGTAACCCGGAATATGAGTGGTAATCCGCAGCTGCTCAACCAGGTTGGGGGCATGGGTGGTTTGAGAAGCTTGATGAATCTGGGGAGGTTATAACTAGTACCGTTTTGGTAAAAATTGGAATGGATTTTTGTGGTGTTGTGGCTTTTAATTAATTAGACTAATAACCGATGAACATTTGTGCCTTTCTCTTTGTTTATTAGGGTGTTGCATTGCCTCCTTTAGATATTCCCACTAATTAATCAGTTACACGGGACTTAACGGTCGGTCTACCGATATTCCTCTTCACTTGTATACAAGATTCGAAAGATTCGAATCTTATAAATAACGAGTTCGAAACTAATTTATTCCCACATTTTTAGTGTTGAATGAAAATCCCGCATTTTTAGTGTTCGAAACTAATCATATTCGAAACTCTTAAAACTCAAAATTCCAAAAAAAAAAAAAAAACCACACCAATACGAAATATTCCAATGAGTTCGATCTAAAGAGAGATTGTAGCGAATGTTTGCTAAATGATGGCGAAATTCGTAATCCAAAAGTAAAAAATTAGAAGATAAACAAATAGGTTACAAGGCAGCTTTTGGAATGGAGGTTGACAGGAGGATCGAGGGACGAACAAAATCCTCATAATTTTGGCTCGTCTTGCAACCGGTCTGTCGATTCATAAACATTCAGCAGCAGAAGCCTTCTTGAGAGGATTGTAGACGCTAAATTCGCCGAAGTCCCTCCTACCACTGGAAAAAACAGTGCCGATTATCAACCCCTTGGCACAAATGAACAGAATTTCAGCAGCTAAACATAATTATAAACAAATGGCATGAAGCATGGACAAAAAGCAGAGGGAGAGATGACGACGACGATGTGATGGTGCCGCTGACATGCATCCAAAGCGGCATGCCAGCGCTAATTTCCATATGTGATATACTTAGCACTACAAGAATGTACCTGTGCGTTATATCCCAGCCGGCAGGTAAAAAACGAGGATGAAGAGATTCAACGAATACTTGTCTCCACCTTTGACAAAATTGAGAAACGCCATCTTCACCATATTCCTTTAGCAGATGATCCACAACTTGCTTGCCATGTGGACCATGTCCTAAAAGTGACATTTTTGATCTACGTTTACGGTGGGAAGTTGCACCATATCCGGCATGACTAAAATCAACTGATCCGTTCGGTGTATCTCTCTCACCATCACCGTCACCATCAGCATTTACAACAGATATAAACTGACTATCAGCAACTCCACTTATATCTGAGTTCATGTTCTTTTCAACAACAGCAAAAGCTTCTTCTTCAGTCCCCAAATCAGCATCCTTCAGCATGAAAGCATCTCCATTTTCTGTTCCGGTATATGCTTCTGCTTCAGTGGTGCATGAATCAAGTAGAGGATCAACTTCCGATGCGTTCACAATGGCAGATGTGTACATGGTAATTGTAGTTCTCTCCTGCTCTGCATCTGGTTGAATAATCCCCTTAGAATGCTTTAAAGAAAGTCCTTTCTTCTTCTCAAATTGTCTTCTCTCGTTGGGACTCATGCCAACCAACAAAGCGTTTTCTAAATCTTCCTCAGATATTTGCCTCCCTCCATAATACCTCATTACTATCTGCAAAGCGATTAAGATTGAATTCACACACATAAGCTCCTAAACTAACAAACCAACAATACTACAAACCGCTGATGCTAAAATCACACACCAACAGTAGTAAAACGTTTGATGTCAAAACTAACGTAAAATCATTACAAAAGTCAATACCATTGTGATCATTTTCTCAAAATCAAGGGCTTAATATATGCTCATGTACCTCTGTCAGTTCTTCACGGCGGCTGGATGGCATTCTTGGTCCATGGCGCAGAAGAGCCATAGCAGCAATGCGCAATTGTAAAGGAGATACACCTGGTTCCTCAGAAGTTGTTTCTGGAACAGATGCTTCAGATGTAGCCTGAGATTGTTCTGAGTCAACCACTCTGCGAACAAAAAGTGGAATCCCAAATTCTGCAGCGATATGTTTTTTATACTTCTCAGCAGAGGCATGAGCAATTTCATGACAGTCCACACATAGTAGGACAATATCATGAGAACGGTGGCTTTTCAAATGTTCAGGGAAGTGCATTCTGTAGCATGAGGGAATTATTCGGTAGCGTAAGTAATGATTTCTTTCGCCACAGCTAACACATATATTTTTCTTACTTTGAATGTAAAAATCATTGCCTTCATCTTCTGGACGGCCTTTGGGCTCAAAAAGAAGCATAATTGCAGGTGGATTTTCATCAACAAGTTTTGCCAAATCCTGCCGAAGATACCTGTAAGAATACAACATTGACCATATCAAATTCAACACATTTTATGGTAAAATGTTTTTTTTGAGATATGATTGCTAACCATTCAAGCTTCCTGCGGTCACAGTAACAAAGCAACCGGCCATCATCTGCATAGATCCTGCAATTATGATAAACTGGAGCTTTACAAGAAAATTTTTGAACAAATAGCTGCCGAGACGACTTTCGAGCAACTTGCTTTGAATTTCTCGACCCATTTTTTCTAGAAGTTAGTGGCACTTTCATATTACACTCTACCAGTAAAGCATAATTGAAGATGGACAGTGGGCAACTCCCATTTGGACCCAGGCAGTTTTGAAGAATCTTAGAAAATAAATTATCAGGGTTGCCTATTTTGTTATGGAGCAGATGACGAAAGTCATCCAAATGACTGTAAACGACAGGGGATGGAGATGAGAGGCCAGAACCAAAACTTGAATCTGCATTGCAATCAGCTTCAGCAATGGTGGTTAATATGTCTGCAGGGTTCGTTGGAGCTTTGTCTGCAAGGGCAACAATAGCCTGATCTGATATTACATATCTTAAGCTCTCATCGTGTACACGAGCCTGGAAAGGAAGCAAATGCCAAGTGATTGCTTAAGTATCTAGAATGTGATCTCAGTGCACTCAGGTGCAACGTTACAAGATCAAATAAAAAACTATTATGACCATAAAACCCAATGTACAATTGAAAACATGGAAACAAGAATGATATGTGTCTAAGTAGCACGAGATAAGTTAATTGAGAGCAGATTCATAACTTCGTACTGTAATGTCATTTTTAGAAAATTTCAAAAAAAAGAAATACATATATATATACACACACTTTCAGCATCATCCTTTGTGGCAAATTTTTGGAAAAGGAACTAACCATCAAATCTCTCCATGCACATAATCTGTTCACAGCATCCTGAAACAAAATACAAAGTTTTGCATAAAGCATACTTATTCTAATTAGTAACACACGTTAACAGAAAGTGCAACAGAAGAATACAAGAAGCGTCCAAGAACCTAGAAAGAAAAGGTAGGAGAAGATAAATTCTAACAAATTAACCAAAGAGGCTGGCAGCACCATAGTAGACCAAACCATGGAACCGCCTCAAGGGCTGTCCTCTCAATTCTAAGATGAATGGTTGACCACTTAAAAAATCCTAAAGTTCTTCTCAACCCAAATGCCCAAAATAGACACAACCAGACCATGATCCAGAAAGCTTTCTTGGTCCTTTTAACAAACCTAACGTGCCAGCCTAATAAAGGGTTAGTGACTGAATCCTAAAATCACCCAAGACACCCCAAACAGTCAATCCAACCCTGCCCCCATGAAAGATAAAGCTCACTATGGGCAATGCAAAGACTTGGGGGAAACCAGATTCCAGTGCACCCTTGCATTAATATAATTTATTGAATATATGCAACACTTGCAACCGCCTCAAAAGTCAAGAACATCAAAAGAAGCAAACCTGGACTTCAGGAGAAACTGATGAAATCCCTCCTTGGCCGTTCAAATGACGGCTAAAAATTGATGAAGCAGCAGACTCTCCAGGAGAAGCTTCTATCTCTTTAGTGTACAGTTGCAAACATATCGAGTTTGAACGCCGACTAGCCTCGAGAACAAAATGTAATTTGTCATTGGGACCGTTGTTTTCTGATACAGTGAGATATTTAGACTTTTGATGCTATGACTATTAGAAAGAGACAACATAGTCTTAAAATGCTATCAACTTGAAATCATGGCTAAGCAAGAGTTAAGTACCACATAACACATGCAGTGTGTTTTAGTTTAGCTCATGCTAAATAAGATTAGTAGAAAATTATCATCACAAATAATAAACTTTATCATGTCACACAGTCATACCAATCCTATGAATTTTTCTAATCAAGGTTTCCAATTCTCCAGATAGAAATGTTCACAAACGTCCACACATCATACAATGTCCTTCTTTTACTTAAGAATTAAAACTTTCATCACATTCTGTAATTTAAGTTATGACCTCTCCGCAGAATAACATTCACAGAAGCGTGCACGTGGACATACAATGATTCATGTATCATCTTTAATTTTTCTTATCTGACCATTCCAACAAGTGAAACGTCAAAGGTCTGAAAAGCAGCTGTTACACAAAGAAGGAAGGTGTACCGTTATCCAGCATTTCCAGCTCAGCAATTAAACTGCGTGCAATATAGAGTAGATAGTGCGCATCTGTACGAGCATATTGTACCATTTCAATTGACAAGGGGCGCTGTCTCCAGTCTTCACGCTACAAACCAATATGAGAAACAATACGAAGCAATGTCAGGTCTACCGTGAGAATGGTTACATCTAAAACCCTTATTCAGAAATCTCCATAGCATTTCAAAACCAATGTGAAAATGTTGGTCAGAACATGGGTTATTACTAAATATATGAAAGTGTCATTTAAATACTCAAGCCTAAAGAAATGTTAAATATTTGCTTTATGTATTAAAAAGAATCATGAAATCAGAAGCCATGTTGACCAATTAGTAGCTCGTTATAAGATAACGGCAAACAGAAAGAACATGAATAAAAAAGCCTCGAGGCCAAACCTGTAACAACTTGTTAGTGACTACTCCACAGTAAGATTCAAGCAAATATGCCAGTGACTTCTGCGGCTTTGACAAAACTTCACAAGCCTGCAGTGTAATAATAAAATACGAAAATGAGTTCAAAACAGATACCAGAGAGTTGCTAAATCATCGTTCTCTTTCTCTCTCTATCTCTCTCAGTTGATGTTTAGATAATGAACATGTCATCCAAAATAACGGTATACAGACAGCTAACCTTTGCAGTATCAAACATATTAACAACATAAATATGGAAGTCCCTTTGCAGCCAGAGAACATCACTATCCGCCCCATGGAACACCTACACACGTCACATAAAATTCCCATCATCAACAGTACTCCAATCACAATCTACCATCATAATACTACACATTACAATATACTAATACATACTCACACTTTTGTACCCAAATCAGTAACATATGCACAAAAGAGTAATTACTATTTTTACCTTACAAATACTAGCATCAGCGAAAACCGGCCGTAGAAGGCTTATGCAATCATGCAGAGCAATCGTGTCCACCAAGTAATCTTCCTTCTCAGTAGAAATCTAATCAAATATTACCAAAATTAGAAATGCACACACAATTTCACACCCAATTAAATTCCTTTACCACTGATTTACCTGTATTAGAGCTGTAAAACCGAGAAAAGACCGAAAACTATGCTGCTCCGTATCAACAGCAAATACCTTCTCTTTGTTCAAAACCTCAACGAGTTCCTTCAACTTCGACTCGGTCTCCACCCACTCATACGACTCACTCATTTCTTCCAAACCCCCCACATTCTTCTCTGTAATTCCAATACATTTTCGAAACTCCTCAAGCTGAAAACTTTCCACCAATCCCGTGATTTCAGCCTCATAAGGATGCGAATTCCAGTTCTTATCTATCACCAAAACTCAAATTTCACTAAAGTTTCCGAAAATTAAAAAACAAAATCAATAAAATTATGAGTGAAACCAAAGTTATATACCTTCCGGAGAACCATTCAAGTTCAGATGCTTGAAGGGAGAGTAGGAATTGTCAGCTAAAACTCGCTTGAATCCGTACTGCAGCTTGAGGTGATCGGCTCGTAAATAACATCGACTTAGGGGGCAGTTTGCGTTCCGGCGGCGTCTCCGGTGCCGCGCAAAGAAGAAGACGGAGAGAGCTGTCAGAGAAGCGAGGGCGACTACTGCAATCTTGAGGTTTCTTCCTTTCGCCTCCATTTTTGTGTTTCTGGAGCTTTCTGTTTAGCTCGATGGAAGCAGAAGAAGGAAGACGATTGCGGTTTGCGGCGGAGCGGTTGAGAGGGGGGCTTACGTGGCACATTTAAAGAACCCAACGACAGACCGTTTATTTGCGAGGCAGTCCGCACCTTTTGAGTAATACGACGAGTCGTTCTTCCGCCATCGGGCTTCATTGCATCCGACAATGGTCCATTGGGTCGTATGGTTTATGTGTACTGAGTCTCTATTAGGGTTTATTGCATTTTATTGGTCTGTTAAAATTTAAAATTATTTTTCGGTACAATTTATTGATTATGATGCAATAAGTTTGAAAAAGACAGTTGAGAGCCGTGTTTGAAATTTCTTCGATGATATCAGAAAAATTAGTGAAGATATGGAAAGGGGAATGTCATCGATCTTTTGACATCTCGGTTAAATATCTATAAAAATGCCATATGACATTTTCCAAAATTTCATTTCAAATTTCCACGTTTTTAAGCAAATTTTCATTATTTACATGGAAAGCAACCGATATCTATGTCGATAAATCCATCGAATTTTCACAAATTTGTATATTGATATTACCAAAACCGATATTTTAAACAATAATTGAGTAATAAATTTGGGAAATTTAAAATGTGGGGTATTGGGACTCGAGAGATTAATGTAGAATCTCTCGTGTTGCAGATCTAAAAGTGTTAGGATTCATATATAAACAACTATATCACACAACCTTCTATAAGCACTTAACGTATACACAAGGGCAGTAATTTGTTTTTTTTTTTTCCTTCGATTCATTCTATCTTAAATTGTTTATATAAACATATATATAGATGTTTTCAACCGAAAAAAAAAACATATATATAGATGTCTATTGTATAAAAACACAGATTTAGGGTTCAAGGATAACAAGCAAAATACAATCATGATGAACTTTATCAGCCTAACATGATACCAATAATACTAATATTGTTCTCATCTTAACCACCTATCGTAAAAATTTAGATGATATTAGGTGAGATATGTCAACCGAATCGTCAACTCATGTTATAGTTTTTAACACATAAGAAATATACACCATGTTATAAGTAATTTGTGCACTCTTGCCTTCCTATATTGCATGACATTATATTGTTGTTTTATTTACACTATTTTGCAATTCTAATTCTCGAAGATACCAAAACCAAAAGCAAACTGTCAACAAGGGTTGGGAGGGAATAAAGGGAATTGATTACATGCAGATGGCACATGTTTTTGTATGGGCCTGCAGATAGAAAGCAGTGGATAGAAGACGATGGCTCAATTTAGAAGGGACATACATGCCTTCATGGCCCGGCCGGCTGCGTATGAGAGAGAGAGAGAGAGAGAGAGAGAGAGAGAGAGAGAGAGAGAGAGAGAGAGAGAGAGAGAGAGAGAGAGAAGGATGGAGGGGAATTGACATTTTGAAATGGATGAAGGAGAATTTGTAGCTTGTAGTATGGTTTGGATGATACATATGAAATGAGAGCTAACAACTCCATTTCAGCTAAAGTTGGTGTATTTAATAATGAAAGCACAACTACTAAGATTGGAATGAGGATCCTCTCCGGATCCTCAAATGTTATCCGTTCATCGTACATCGTGCGATTAGTTTTCATCAGGTACTATTCATATTTTAATTTTAAATAAAGTATTTAAAATAATTTTTTGCTGCACGATGTACGATGAATGGATACGATTTGAGAATCTCCAAGATCCTTACAAACAGGATCCGGAGAGAATCCTCATGACTAAGATTGCACTATCTTTGTTTTTTTTTTTTTTTTTTTTGGTAAAAATTGTATTATTATATTTTTCTTGCCGGCAGTGGAGACTTTTTGAAACTAAAGACTTTATAATGTGTTGGCGTGTGAATAATTTTTTTATTGTTGACTCTATAATAGAGCTCATATGCATTTGTGGTTAGAATCATACGTGCGTGAGGATCTAGTCTAAGCATTCCTATTATGAAAATGGAAGTCAGAAAAACTTTACATGTCTAAAATTTGAATGAACTAGAAAATGATTTATTTTTAAATTGTATGGAATGCTAGAAACTGTGAAACAACAACAATTAGGGTTAGAGATGATGAAATTAAAATTCGGTTTGAATCTTGAGTATGACGTGGAAAAGTTTAAGACGATTGAGGTTACATCATTCTTTATATGCATTTCCAACTAGATTTAAGAGAGATACCATGTTAATTCCAACCAGATCAAAATACCAGGTTAGACATATAATAATGACTCTGAAAGATAGTTTAAGTTGCTAAAAAATATGTCAACCATGTATATCAAACTTTAACCCTTCCTCACGAGCCTGTCATGTTATTCATATACGTGAACAATATATATCACGCTCACAAATTAAATCAAACTAGCAACCAACATCTTGGAATGACGAACCTTTTCCTTTATTTTTAGCTCTTTTGAGGTGGTAAACAAAATCTTGTTTCCCTCATTTGATGTAAAAGCTAATCAGATTTTGCTTAAAGCCATAGACAATGGCAATCATACTCTTATCATAAGCAACCTAAATGGCACATCTCCAAGAATTCAACAAAGTACCTTCACTTGTACGAAAAAGGTCATCCCATAATGATATAGCTAGAGAACATATAAAATAATGCTATAGCTTAGCTTCCTTTGCAAATTGGCAAAAATGGCAGAAACTATAATTTGGTACAGAAATACCCTTTGGCTTCATGATAAAGGCTTGTGTAGTTCTGTTGCATTTGGTAAATGGGATGCATCAGCACCAACCAAGCTTGTGTAATGGCAGCTTTGGGTTGCTTAGAGTTAGAGAGAATATATGAACAGTAGTAGTGCTGCTGTAAAGCGACGGGGAATCCTTTTCGAAGCAAACATCTTCCAACCGATTTCAACAACGCACCTTATTTTCTTTCTTAATTTGCAATTTTTATACATGATTTTTTAAGTTTGGTTTTATTCACAATTTAGGCTATTAAAATCGTGAATCTTTTAATGGTTTACGGACTACTTTAGAAGATGATCGATAAATATCTTTGCAAGTCCAAATTAGTATATTCTTGATATGTATGAATTTGCTAAAAGTTCAGATGATGGATACATGATTTCTTAAGTTTGCAAGTTCAAATCCTTCTTGTTATGTTTGGATTTTGCTCCTTGCATGTTCACCCAAAAAGAAAACGAATGTTGAACTTTAAGTCCAAATCTTATCCAAAATGCCAAAAACAAAAAAAATATTGGCGCTCTTATTTTTTTTTAAGAGAATAATAAAACTTGGCTTATTAGCATATGGTTGATTCACTGTTTATGGAAGTAATAGATGAATATTTTTAGAACTTCGAGTTTATCTAAACTTACTAAGTTCTAGGTTCTGATGAGCTTATTAAATAAATGGTCCAAACCGTCCAATATGGAGACTTCCAACTAAATTGAAACTTAGCTCTCAATTTCCAGTAATTAAAAAATAATTGAATCCAAGTGCAAATTATAATTTGAGGGCAAATCCAAGAATCATTATCCCAACACATTAATTAAATTTAAACCCAGCTACTTAATTAAGTTAATTTGCCCTCCTGAAAGAAGCAGAGAGGATGTCCGGCCCTCTTTAGTGGCCAAGGAATCGTAAAACTTAACGTGCAAGTACTCAATAATACCACGTGACACGTGGCCCTAGTGCCATGCAGACTTTTGCAGTTTCCACGTGAGTTGGAGCACCACAAGTCACATGATTAATCGACATGGTTAAGGTCCTACTAATCATATCGTGCCACGTAACAGGGTGCTTAGATCTGATCACGTGCACTTGGCAACCTTTCCAGCCCAGCTTGTTGCCTTTGGCTTCCCTTTATGTGTACAAACCAGGTTCTCATCATCAGCTTGGGAGATTCTCATATTTGTTAAGTGTCTCTTCCTAATAGGATTATAAAATAAAAACCCTCACAAATCTCAAATCATGATTCATGAACCACGAGTAAAGAGGCTTTTTTATTTGTTTCAAATATCCCCCCAAAAGTTTTTTTTTTCTCGTTATATAATTTTCTTCAATATTACGTAATATTGGATGATACGAGAAATGAATGGATGAAATTAAATATGAAATATTTAAATAGTTGTGGAAATCAAATTTAATATATCATTGAATGATACGTAGTATTGAATTCTTACCTTCAATAACTTTTAATCTGTTAATTAAATTTGAGAAATGTTTGTGGTTTGCTATGCACTTAATCAAAATGGTGTGATAACTTTTATGTTATTAGATTTAATCCTAATTAGTTATATATATAGTTCAATAACACTAGAAACATCATCTTACTATAATTGTGTTTATATTTGTTTTGCATAAAGTCTAAGCATGGATTAGTCTGTAGCTTAATTAGGGGTGTAATATGTTGATGTAGACTTGTAGTACTAAACTACAAGAAAAAATGACTTTCCAGACTAATTTGATTTCCTGTCGGCTAAATCGTTTGTTACGTCGACTAATCTTTTGCTCGATGAAGTACTTTCGTGCAAAATTCCAACCAATGATATCCATAGTTCGTGGTCATTTCCTTTGAAAAGTTATGAGTTTAGAATTATGTGTTGCAGGCCCCATTTCTTGTAAAGATCACATACGTTGAGAGAGTTAGAAAATGCATAATTTGGTGGATTAATTAAGAGTAATTATCTACTAAAGGTAATCAAGGTCCCTAAGGCCAATTCTCAAAACAATATATACTATAACCAAGTTTTAATTAAATTTATTATATAACATTTAATTACATGTATACTTAAAAAAAACATAATTGTATTATGATATATAAATTGTAAAATAGAATGACATATAGATTATAAAGTATTAGAACATATTGAAAACTTGGTAGACAATCATATCATGCGTGTTCATCTTAGTATTGGACAAGTCTCTTACAATTTATTAAAAAAAATGCAAAATGAAAGTTATATATTTTATGTCTAAAGGGGCGCCTAGGTGGGTTAGGCGGGGTAAGCGGGAATTTTAAGAATAGTGAGTATAATACATTTATTCATATGCCCTTTCCTTTAAAAACAGTAAAAATAGCATTAGATGCAATGGTTTTAAGAGGTAGGGGTTCTCCTTTTACATCTTCGATGTGGATTTTGTTGAATTTTCATGAGCTAGAAGTTCTTCTTGTGATATTAGATGATACGCAAACATTTTTGTAATAAACTCTCTAAACATGTGGAATGTATTACTATCATATATTGTGCATTATTTAGTTGTTCAAACGTCGTAAACGATTTATAAGCACCACAAGTGGGGGCTTAAATATAAGAACTGTTGTTAATTACTTGTTTAACATTTTTGTGATAAACTCTCTAAACATGTCGACGTGCTCTTGCGAGTTGCGAGTCCTAAGCAAAGAAATGGAATCAAATGTTCGCCCTATCTCTCTATGTACGTATTTGTCTACTTGACTGTATTATGGGTAACGTCCATGGTCAACTCTACTAAGGATCACTAGGTAGGATGCTTGTAACACTATACTTCTTGAAGAATAATACTTGTGTCTTCCTACAAGGGAATGCACATAACTTATTTTGAATAACGTATATTAATCGTATGAATTTTATAATTGAAACGTTCACTACTTAATCTTGGTTTGAAGATCATTCCTACTAAAAAACATCTGAATCGAAGATCATTTAGTAATTTGAAATGTATGGAACAAATCGATGGTGTGAATACCAAATAACATATTTATGATGAACCATCTATTTATTTGATATATTTGAATGACTAAACGATTTCTTATTTATTTATTTATTTATTTTTGTAGATATGATTTTCAAATGAAGATTAAGAAATTGAATGGTTTTGGTTATAGATTTTAGACAAAAAAGATAGTTATTTGCAAAAGGTGGGATAGGTGCATTCGGCATTCCCCCATAGGGGATCGCAAGTTTTATCGATTCTTGAATTATGCTAGTAAAGTCGTCCAAGCATACGTGTAGTCTGTACATTAGTTGGGAGTCAATCATGCACGCGTTGACGTTAGTAACACCATTACTCTAGATTATATTAGCTACACAATTATCCAACTATGGTTCAAACATTGTACCAAACAGTCACCTATGGTTCAAATATTGTACCCAAACAATAAAGCAAAACTTTAATGAGATAGAAGAACCAAACCTAAGACCTAAAATACTGAAACAAATACTTTTAATTACGTAAATTACAAATCTTTTTTAATTTGATAACATAATACGCCCACAAAATATCATTCATTACCTAGCTACCTACAATTGCAAATCTTTAGAAAGTTCATAGAAAAAAGGCTCTCATCTAGTTCAAAAGAAACCATCATACACGTCTCACAAAGTGAAGTGTGAACCAAAACCCACATTTTCCCATGTGACAACCAGTGATAAGAACATGTCGACAGTCTGCATGGCCCTACTCCCACCCAATATATGTGTGTAGTTGGAAGAGGAATAAACTATTAATAAGAACTCAAGCAAAATTGAGAGATAAAGAAAACACATGTTGAAGGGTAATACTGTAACTATCACTCAGGTCATTTAGTCTGACAGGTACTGTTTGGTAATTTAGGTTTAGGGTCATTTAGTCTGACAGGTACTGTTGGTCATTTAGTCTCCCTTCTGTTCAACGTCCCTTGCCTGCGAAGTGGAGTTTCTAGATAGAGAGAAACTAGAGAGAGAGAGAGAGAGAGAGAGAAACTAGAAGAGAGGAGAGCAAAAGGATAAAGAAAGGAACAATACAAATGACAAGTTGATAAACAGAGCACTCTACTTTCTTCCATATTCTGCCCTCAAATCTTGTACCTCAAAAAAGCTCACTTTCGAAAAAGTGCTTCTTCTTCTTCTTCCACATTCTTTCATGGGTTTTGCTTCAGAAAGCTGATTGTTTTGGAAGCAGAGGAGAATTGGGGAAGAAGAAGAAGAAGATGTCTTGGAAAAGCAGAGGAGGCCCATCATCATCTAGAAGTTTTATTTCTCAGAAATGGACCTTTTTTCTCTGTTTAAGCTGCTTCTGTGCCGGAATGCTCTTCACCAATAGGTACTGTTTCTTATGAACAATTTTTGTTTATTTATTTTTTAAATTCACTTTGTTTGAATTGTTGGAAATGATTCAATCAACCACTTCTTTGTACTTGTTTCTGTAGTGGGTTCGAGCCAGTTTCCTAGAGTGGTAACTCAATTGGAAAGTTTTATTAGAAAATTTTCTATTTTTAGATCATGAACAAATGGTCGTTATTGGTTTTGATGCTGGATTTGATGGGTAGTGCTATTCACAAATCCCGTTTTACCTTCCACAAAGCCTTGTCCGTTTTTGTCCATTGATCTTTCTTCAATCCTTCAATCCTTCAATCCTTCAATCCGACGGCCTGTGTATTGTGAAATTTAGTTTCCTTTTATATTTGATAAATTTGTTATTTTTGTTTTAATTAGTTGGATGATTCTGAAATTCCAGGCTTTTATATGGTTAATTATTTTCTGAATTTGATTGAACATGCATGAATTTCTTTGGAAACATTTTGGTCAAGTTTAATGATGAAACTTTTGGTTGAGATGTCATGAAGTTTTTATGGAAATTTATGTGGCGTTTGCAGAATGTGGACTGTACCAGAAAGTAAAGGTATCACACGAAGAACAGCTATGGAAGAAGAAAAATTAAATTTAGTTTCAGAGGGTTGCAATCCGAAATCTGTAATGTTTCATCTCTAACTTAATTTCGTATCATCGCGAGATTTGTTATTCGCTAATGTATTAAAATTTGTATATCAGGTTCCTCATCTGAAGTTTTCTTTTATGTTTACTGATCTGGTTCTTTTAGTTGAATCAGAAGGAGGTGAAGCGCGAAGATAAAGACATTTTTGGGGAGGTTTATAAGACTCATAATGCTATACAGTAAGTTATGATTTTCGGACAAGAACATAATGTTTCGCGATTTTGGTTGATTTCTAAGTTTTCTGATCAAAAACTTTATGTTGTGTGTTGAAATAGGACATTAGATAAGACTATTTCAAATTTAGAGATGGAGTTAGCTGCAGCAAGGGCAACACAGGAGTCGATACGTAGTGGCTCTCCTTTATCAGGTGACTCGAAGACTGATTCAACTGGGAAGAGAAGGTATCTGATGGTTGTTGGAATTAATACTGCTTTTAGCAGCCGGAAAAGAAGAGATTCAGTTCGTGCTACGTGGATGCCACAAGGTACATAAATTGATTCTGTAATGTCTTCGTTGTTGTTTTCTGTTGGATTTTTTTTCACATCCGTTGTCTAATTACTCTTGCTTGTGCAAAACATGAATTATAGGCGAGAAACGAAAGAGGCTGGAGGAAGAGAAGGGCATCATCATTCGCTTTGTCATTGGTCATAGGTGAGTATTTAAACTTTGTTCTTGCTAGTTAACGTTAAATAGGAAGGCTTATCTATTGTGGTCTGCTAGAATATAATTCGTCACAGATGTAGTTTAAGTCATTGATCTGGTAGGCTGCAGTTCATGCATTGGTTCCCATTCAGTTATAGCTGATGGAAGCCAAGACTATGTTTCCCCCATTTACAATTTATCACAACTCCGTGTCGTTGAAAACCCTTATTTCATAAAAAGCATGAAATGCTAGTGTAGGTAATTGAAAGGTATCCATGTAATCACGAAAAAAAAAAAAAATTTCTTAAGAGTCTAAGATCAGTGTTTGTGGGTTGTACTTGTACACGTACGGAGTGACGGTACATTCTCTATTTCTTTCTCTCCAGGTAAAAGAACTTTCAAGCCTCCATAATCTAGATGCCTTGCTAGGTTCAACTTAATTTGCACTTAAAATTCCTAGGTCATGGGATAATTTACAAGTTATTTCCGTTCCTTGTCTAGTGCCGCGTCAGGAGGTATTCTAGATAGAGCTGTTGAAGCAGAGGACAGAAAGCATGGAGATATCCTGAGGCTGGTAATGTCTTTTAGTCGTTCTTGTGTTGTTATTGTCCTCTTCGTTCCACATGTGTATGCTTGCAGCTCACTTGAGTCTTGAGCATAACATGTTCATCTCTATGCCTCTTTCGCAGGACCATGTTGAAGGGTACCTCGAATTGTCAGCCAAGACAAAGATTTATTTTGCTACTGCTGTTGCTACGTGGGATGCAGATTTTTATGTCAAAGTTGACGATGATGTCCACGTAAATATTGGTAATTTAAGATTTACTTTACAATGATCAACATTTTTCATACGATACCGTTGTGCACGATGACATAAAAGTGAAAGAACTAGGTTTCTTTTCCATTTGAGAAACATAAGGATACAATACAAGCTTTACAAAATCGGTAGCCTATTTCAAACTACTTGGGTTCTTCACCGTTTGTGAAAGCCTCTTATGTTCGTTTAAGCTTACAAGATCTTACTGGATGGCCAACTTGCATGTTGCGATTTGGCAGAGCAAAATTTATTAGTCTCACTGAGCCCATCTTTTCAATTTTCTGCAGCGACGCTAGGAGAAACACTAGTCAGACACCGAAAGAAAAAGCGCCTGTACATTGGATGCATGAAATCTGGTCCTGTTCTAGCACAAAAGTAAGCCAGTACTTATAATTGTTTCTTTTATTTCTTGTTTTTCCTTTTGTGTTCAGATAGTTTTTGAGAAAGTAAACTGATTTTGAGTTCTTGAATATTTGATCATACAGGGGAGTGAGATACCATGAACCTGAGTATTGGAAATTTGGTGAGCCAGGAAACAAGTACTTCCGTCATGCTACAGGACAGCTGTATGCGATATCAAAAGATTTGGCTACGTATGTATCAATAAACCAGTAAGTTTCCGACTTTATGTGAGGATGGATTTTGAAATACATATAGTTTGTTTTTCTCTTCTTGCACTTGTGGTGCTCATTTGTATGCATCTGTCAGGCATGTCCTACACAAGTACGCTAATGAGGATGTCTCATTGGGATCTTGGTTTATTGGACTCGATGTACAGCATATTGATGATCGGAGACTATGTTGCGGCACCCCACCCGGTAAGTCTTCCTCGTTCAAAATTACCATGGTAGTAATGATTGAAAACAAAATGGCTTAGTTTGTGCAGATTTATATGAAAAAGCAGTAAAAAATATACATGCTAATGCTATTATCTGCTCATTTTCTAGAGGGTAAACAACTATTTGGTTAATTTGTGAAAAATAAGAGTGGCCTATTTGTTACATTCTAGGGTTCGTTAATTCTAATGCAGACTTGTTTGCTGCAGATTGTGAGTGGAAGGCGCAGGCGGGCAACATCTGTGTTGCTTCATTTGATTGGAGCTGCAGTGGGATTTGTAAGTCAGCCGAGAGAATCAAGGAAGTCCACCGCCGGTGCGGGGAAGGCGAAAACGCCTTGTGGAGTGCTAGATTCGAATAGGCAGCTCGAACATCTTCCAACCTAGGGAAGATTTTCGAGCTTAAGTATAAAGGCAGGTGTTTTTTCTTAGTTCATTTTCCTCCTGTATTGAGTATAGAGAATTACAACACCAAAAAATAGAGTTTAGAGAGAGAGTGTGTGTGTGTGTGTGTGTGTGTGTGAGAGAGAGAGAGAGAGAGAGAGGTTGCTGTGTGGACCATCTCCATTTTAGTAGAGGATATTGGCCACAAAGCAGCTGCTAAATTGAAAATTGAGGGGTCCCCAACCCATACAATTCTGAGAGGCTTGAAGAGCCAAACTGTAAGTTACAGTTCTTCTTCTATGCCTACAGTAACAAATGCAACAATAAATATGCAAATCTTTGTGGGAGCTTTTACAGCCTTTCTTGTACAATCTTGTTTCCCCTTGGTATATGAATATTAACATACATATTACTTTGCATTGATGTCTTTCCCAGTTATCTTGTGACTCATCTGACACCATCCGTGGCTCCACCGCCTCTTGTTTTTGGAAGTCTCTTGCATGTCGCCTACGGCAATATGTATATCGCCGTGTGAGGTAGAGCACTCACACGGTAGGAATATACATCTCTTGTGACACCCTAGTGTGTCTCTTTGTTCTGGGCAAAATGCTACTTGCAATTGTTGTAATGTCTCTCTATCTTTCTCATCACATGATCAAGCCGGGACTAAACCCCTTCTCTAATTCGTATTTACATAAAAAAATCAGACGTCCAAAACAAAATCGAACAGGACACACGAAGGACTAATTAGTCCGGCAGTCTCTTTGCAAGTTGCCACACCCTTGAAATGTCGCTCTCATGCCTATCTTCTATGGTCAAATTGATGCTTCTAATTTTCTTTTTCTATAAAGTCAAAAAGATCAATCTTTCTTTGGATGCTAAGGCCATCTCCAACTGAAGGGTTTAGAGGGCTAGATGGTCAAAAATAGTTTGAAAACCGTTTCCAACCAAGGGTTAGGTTAAAGGGCTCGTGGACCCCATGGGACAAAAAAGGGCCAAAGGGCCAACTGACTGGCCTAACCCAGCCAGCTAGCCAGCCCCGGGCCGGGCCATAATTTCAAACACAACGGCTAGCTGACGTTAGTTACTGTTGGATTTGAATTTATTTTTTTTTTCGGCCAAATTTTTTTTTCGAATTTTAAAAAATTCTTTTTTTTCCTATAAATACGTAAGCCATTCCTACACCATTTGACACATAATTTTCACCATTCCTACACCATTTCAATTCTCATATTTTCTTATCTCTTCAAATAATATTTCCTTCAATTTTTTCAATAATTTTCAAATGGCCTCATCTACAATGAAAGGTAGGGCTTGGACCCGAAAAGAAGATGAAGCTCTTTGCAGGGCTTATAGATGGGTCTCGGAAGATAGTGTGAGGGGGACTTCTCAAACAAGTGAAGGTGTTTGGACTCGTGTGTCCAAAAAATACTATGAGTTCTACGAAAGCACCACTCCACCGAATACCTGAAATCACAAGAGTTGTTCTTCAAGATGGAAGAAACATCTTCATCCACGTTTGAATAAATGGCATCAAGCAGTGTTAGTAGCTGCAAGTAGACATGAAAGCGGCGCCAATTACTACGACGAAATAAGTGTTTTCTCAATTTATTTTAAATATTTAATTATATTACATTCAATTTCATAAATTAATTTCCTTTAATTTTTGTAATTATATTTAATTATATTACATTTAATTTCATAAATTAATTTCCTTTAATTTTTGTAATTATATTTAATTATATTACATTTAATTTCATAAATTAATATCCTTTAATTTTTGTAATTATATTTTTTTAGGTATACCAAGCGGAGAAATTGTATATGGAGGGCAGCTTAAAACCCTTTATATTTCATGTTGTAAAGGGTGAGTGTTATTTGAAAATCCATCTCAACATAGAGTAGGTCCTATGCTGGTGTTCAGAACTGCATTCTCAGTTGTAGATGGGGATGAAGATGGATCTCCTATCATTCAAGAAACAAAGGTAGAAAATCCATCTTCGGGTGAAGGTTCCATGCCTAGGGCTATGGGACAAAACAAGGCCTGAAGGTTGAAGGAAAAGGGTAGGCAAAGGATGATTACGCCGCTCAACAGGAAGTGGCAGCCTCATTGCGATTAATGGCGAAGCAAAATGCCTTTGCCGCGGAAGAAAGGAACCGTAGGCATGAAGAACGGGCCAAACAAATACAAGAAGAGATGGATGATAGAAATATGCAAAGGAACACTTCGGATTACACTCTAATGAGTAAGACCTATTTTGATAGGAAAAAGAGGGAAATTATGGCCCGGCGGTAGTTGTTTATCTCCGACTATACTCCTACAATGGCAGATGATGAAGATGATGTTGATTATGGACTTTAAATTTAAGTTGTTATAGTTTTTAAATTTTAGTTGTAGTTTTTAAATTTAAATAATAAATTATGTTTGGCTCTATGACCCTTTGACTCTTGGTTGGAATAATTTTTTGTCACAGGGCTATGTTTGGCCTTATAGCCCTTTGGCCTTGGGTTGGAGATGGTAAGAAATATACCCATGCACTGTTCATTAAAATATTAATTTTTTGAAGGGCCAAATGGCTAAAACGAGCTATCTAACCCTCTTTCGATTGGAGATGGCCTAATTAAGAAAAAGATAGAAAAATGAAAACGACTTCATCTGCATCATTACTAGAATTAGCAATCACCCTTGCCAGGATTTTACAATAGGAATTTTCTTGGTTGTTGGATTTTTGGCCGGACATCGATTTTTCTAATATGCACATGCAACGGGATTCGCGATCGTCAGATTCTTGGTTGTTGGGTTTTTGGCTGGATATCAAGCCCATCAGTCCTCTAGTACATATCATACATCAGAGCATAATATAATTATTTTTACAGTACAAGAGTTTTTCTATAACCAAAACCAATTGTGTTCCAAACTAACAAAACAGAAGGCAAAAAGTACAGTTCTTTTCTTCATTAGAAAGTTAGAAACTACTAGGACGTTGTCCAAAATTACAGCTAGTTATGCCTACATACAAAAAAACAAAGAAAACTTTACAACAAGAGTAAAAGTACATAGAGAACTTTACCACAACGAGACAGAACAGCAAATATGCCTTTATTTTACTGCCACACCAGGAATCATCTATGGCAATATGCATTTTCTTGCACATGGGATGCAGAATAATGTGTTGAATTAAATGCCATATGCATAACAAAAATGGCATCATGTATACAAAACTAGTAAAATGTAACATCTAGCACACAAGATTTCAATTAACCTAACTATGAACATACAAAGCCAATCCAAGACATTGGTTTTAAGGGGTATGTGTGTGTGTGTGTGTGTGTGTGTGTAGGTTTTCTCATGCACATTGACTTATGGAGAAAATGGCAACTCATCCAAAATTCATTATATCAAAATACAATTGAATGACTGTGCACGATAAACGTTCCCATCTCCCTCGATCATCACAAAACTAAGAGCATTGTTGGATTAGAGTTGCCCTTTATTTGTAATTGAATTCTTTTGGTTAAAGGTACGTGAGGAACCCACCAAAATTTGCCTACATACAATAAAGTGGTCATTGTTCTAATACCAGCATTCAAATTTCTAAGAGTTGCTGCAGGCCAGTAAGCCAGTGAGAAAAATATTAGCAATGAAAGAAAGTGTTGTTTTTTTTCTTAAGGAACTGTTGTCAGCACTTTAAAAACATCATTCTGTAGTCTAATTTTGTAAAAACATACAAAATAGTGTAGGATTACATTTTTAGAACGCAAATAACAACCCTCTTCTTCAAATGCAGTATAAATCTTGGAGAATGTGACTAGCTGATCAATCGACACAACACAACCATTCGACCGACCACTAACATTCCATGACCATCTCAACAGTTCTCCTGCATTGGGGAATTTCCAAAGAAAGTACAGCCTCTTATAGTGTATTAACAAGCTAAGAACTTGGAGAAGCTTTTATTAAACAAAGTTCAAGAATAACCCTAATTTATGTCAAGATGAATACTGAAAAAAAACAAACAAAATAGAAATGATAAAGTGTATACCTTTAAATTGGGATTAGGGCAAACGGTGGAATATATGATAAAAAGGAACAGTGGCACGTGATATTGGCACGGCTCAATCAAAAAGCAGAGCTCAAGCACTTTTAGAGCACTGTTTTCTTATTGAACCGGACCAATATCCCGTTCAAACTGATACAAATCCAATCCATCTCTTTCTTTGGCTTCCATTCCATGAATCTGTTCACAAAATAGGCTACAATACAAACATACCCTTTTCATCTTTACACAAAACAAAACAAAACAAAACACAAAGTGAAAACGAAAGGGTAATGATTTTCACACTTCTGTTTTCTCCTTATGCACTCTTCACCTTGTTTCAGTTACGTTGAAAAAAGGGCTGAGTATAGAACAAGAAACGAATGCAAAAATCACTTCCCCAAGAAAAAGATTGGAAGCAAAAACGATATGAACTTACATTATGCATTACAAAACCAACAAAATAAAGTGTTAAATTTGTGTTGAAATAAAACAAATTCATTTTCATAAGGATTCGACGTAATCATGGAGTGCCGGCTGTCGACTACCTGACGCCCTCCCCCTCCTTCTTTATCCGGGCTTGGGACCGACAATGTAAGATAAACTTACACGGCGGAGTTGTTGAAATAAAACAAATAAAGAACAAAATTTGGGTTGTGGAAATTGATACGAGCTTGGAACAAGAACTGACAGAGATATTTGAAAGGAGAAGAAAGGAGGCAATTTGGAAATGGGGCAATGGGCGGAGAGAACAACTTAAACATATTAATAAGGCAGATCTGAGCAGAAAGAGTTAGAGAGAGAGAGAGAGAGACAGATGAATGTATGTCTCTTTAAGAAGGTAATGCCCAACAAAGAGAGATGGCTACTAGTTACTGGTGGTGGTAGCATTGAAGAAGTTGCATTAAAATTTCCAACCACCTTGCAACAAAGGAAGTTGGGAATATTAATTTTGAACAAGGTACAAGAATCTTTGAAGAAAAAGAAAGCAAAAAATAAAAAATAAAAACAGGTTCACGGACACAAACCTGGGGCTTTTAATGTGAGCATTTATGGATGATGGAGTAGGGGAAGAAGAGATGTTCGTTCTGTTCAATCCGCATTTATGTTATTTTGTATCGAACAGATAGAACCTTTGTTTTCTTTTGAAATGGTTTGGTTTGATTTGGTTTGGTTTGGTTTGATTTCTGCCTCGTAGGTTTTTTCTTATTCAATTCAAAAACTCTTTCACCGCTACCACCGCATATTTTTCTTTGAGTGTTTTTAGAGGTCTCTACAATGGTGGTGAATTGTCTGCCATTCTATTTCCATATTCTTCTCATCCTTTCTTGTTTTGTATGGTCACGGTTAAGCCACGTCAACATTTTATATTCTTATTATTTTTTGTTTTATTATTTTTATAAAAAAATCAATATAAAATATTAACGTAGCTTAACAGTGACCACACAAACAGGAGGGGATGAAAATAGTATAGAAATGAGAGGGGAGACAATCCACCTCCCTCTACAATATGTGGCCATTGATTAACTTTGTAGGCACTAGCTAGGTAGTAGAGTTGTCCTATATACATGTGACATGCCAATGATGCCATACGTTTTACGTTTAGGTTGCAGCATTGGAGGTTGAAATTTGAAACCCTAATTCTAATTGTCAATTCGTGCCCTCATTTTGGTGAAGGACTGTTCGGCTTTGGCGTTTGGAAATGGAAACCCAGTACTTGATGATAAGGTACTCGGTTAGCATCAGACCTCGTTTTGCTATATTGTGTAGGTGAGAGGTCAGAGATGGAAAGAAGTTGTCCACAATTTACATAAGTTTTATGGGTAATTTTGGAAGCAAAGACTTGCCAAAAGATTGATGAGACGAGTTGGACGAAAAGTTATTGTACAAAACCGAAATATAATCACGTAATATAACAATTGACGCGTCTAATGTGTCATACTACCACACAAATAATCTTTTGATTTGGACCTGTCAGGTTTATTAAAAGAAATAAATTAATATTGACTAATGAGACTTGAACACCAGAAGATTGATGAGAATGTTATACGTTGTTGCACTTGCTAAACTTGAATGGGGATTATGTATATAACTGGTTCTATATTCCTTATCTTTTTATCATCTCTTTATCTCTAACATCACGGAAAAAGAAAAAAAATATAATACGTATTATATATGTTTTGCTTGTTTCTTGTTACGGGGTTATGTCGATTAGAGTGTGGATGACATTGTACTTTAATTGATATGTGAGTTTTCATAAGATGCGACGAGAAGCGTTAAAAAATGTGAAATATGTCATGTGCTGTCATTTTAAGATTGAGATATTGTGATTAAGTGACAATGTCTTGATGCCGTTAAACATCATATTCCACATCCATTTGTTGTGATACGATAGTTGAGGGCCTGTATGGTAAGAGGAGGAATTGAGATTAAGTCAAGATTAAAACTCCGAAAGAATCCCAATAAAGTCTTGAAATTTGGTAGAATTTATTTTGATAACCAATTTGTGCTGCTTTGTTTTTCGATTATGTTATTTTGCCTAGCTTTTGTTTTCAAATTAACATGCATTATGACATACAAGTTTGTCTAACTTTCTTATTTTTTTCTAGTGGTGTCGTTCAACTTGTTTTGCAGGTTTAGACCTTTTAGAGGGCCTTTTTTTTTGTTGAACTTTTTAGAGGGGTTAAGTTTCATTTCCTCCCCCCCCACTCTTTTCCTTGTATCTTTTTTGGTTTTGTTTCTAGAGGAATAAGGTTTATTATGTCTTCCTTTCTTTTTCATGTATTTTTATCCCCTTTTTTTTCTGTATTGCCAAGGTTTCTGAAAAAAAAGAAAAGAAAAACTAAATTGTTTACTTATTTTTCTTTCCTTATATATTTCTCGTAATGGGTTTATGTCATTTGGAGTGTGAATGAGTCCGATTATGAAATGTTCCAAATGAGTATATGGACTTTGATAAGATGCAGGTGAGATGTGTATTGTCATTATTATAAGATCCAAATTGTGACAAGAAACGATTGACAAATATAAACGAAACTGATCCTATCTCAATGTGTAATATTTCTGTCTTAACATACATTATCATCATCTATGACGATGGAGAAGTTGGAGTTCAAGAACAATGTGACGTAGATCGTTGTCTCAGTATAGCAATTGTTAGGTGTAATGTAATTATGTAAGTGTAATTAGCAAAGCAAATATTGCTGGAAATGCATCCGATTATTATGAATACAGTTTTGGTTGTTATGAGATTGCTTGAGGTAAAAGTATATGATTAGTACAATTTTCCCCCTTCGCAGATATGTATGGTAGGTTACTATTGTATAATCAACTTTATCAATACTTCTTGTTTGATTTTGTTGCAGCGGCTATAATGTCTGCAATTTATGAGGAAAATAAGGATGAAGATGGCTTTCTTTACATGGGGTACAGCGGTGAGAACACATTCGGGACATTCTGAAGATTCAAAAAATAAAAGAAGTTACAAGTGATGTAAATTATCTTTCAGTCGAGAAGTTTGGTGCTTACTGAGACACGTTTTCCGGTTTTGGATTAATGACCTTTTATATTCTATTAAGTAGATGATAATTTTTATTTCAAGATGCAAGATGGTTGTGACTGGATGAATATATTTATGTGTGCGTATGTAGATCCCAAATTTGCTGCGTAAGCCTTTCCTTTGCAATATGTAATCTAATTCAAGGCACCAGTGCAACCCTTACAGGTTTAAGCCTCAATGCATAGATTAGACACATCATCAACTCTCACTCTAATTGATAGAGTTGAGATTCAAACCTTCTTCTTCTGTCTTTCACTTTATCTTCTTCGGTGCAATTTATTTCGATTGCAATTTATCTTCTTCGGTACAAATTTGTAATTGGAAATTAGGGTTCATTTATAATTTGAATTTTGTAGATTCAAACTAGGTTATAATTTTGTTGCGTATCTATTTGTGTGGTTGCTTAGATGGATTTGCAGATTGAACGGAACGACGAGGAGAAGCGGCCACTCCCCTCTGTATCAGAGTTATATAAACCAAACTCATGAGACTCATATATTAAGCTCACTTATATTAGACTCAAAATTTTCCGATTTGTGAGTTTGGCTCAAACTTTTTAGAAGGGAAAATTCAAATTTGAGATGTAAAAATCACATTTACATTCCATTTTAAATTTTCGGGAAATGTGAATGAAAGTTCTACTTAATGAGAAAGATGTAAATTCGAGATATCATTTAATTTTCTCTCTTAGATTAGCGGTGCCTATCACCTAAAGATGTAAAAAAGAATGTGAATTTAGGTTTTTATTTACATATTAGGTCGAAGATGAATAATTTACATTTTTCCATTAATTAGAGAGTTTTTCGGCAAGAAAAAAAAAAAAAAGAAGAGCATTTTATATCTCCCATTAAAGTTAGGGTTCTTAAATTTCATATTAATTGGTAAAACTAATTTATGAAGGACCGAATAAAATGACATTATATATTTGAATCGGTTTTAACCATCAACATACAAAGTAGATAAATACGAGAGATGTTTCTAAGTATCCGGTACACAAGCCGATACTCTATGTGTCAAAATACGAGTGGAGGAACACAAAAACATAAATGCTCACTCTTATATAATGACACGTGAAGTGGCTAGTTTGTGTATCAGGTACTTGAAAAAACCTCTCGTATAATTACATTGTGAGTTAGACATAGAAAATAACATTAGGTTTATATCGCTTCAGATTATCTTAGCTTTGCGGGATCCTTCCATTAACATGTCGTATATTCTAAAATCTTGTTGAGATCGATCACTGAGGGCTTCTTATACCTATGTTCATCGTCAAGCCAATGGTGTGATCCATCTCCTAACCCGCTATGCACTTAAAAATGCTAGTCCTTTTCTTTGGTTAGATTCCCCTCCGGGTTTTTTTATCTGATGTCCTCCTTGAGGATGTCCTTTCTGTAATGGATTGAGCATCTGCTCCTATTTACCGTTAAAAAAAGCATTTGCTCCTATTTTGTATGCTCTATGAAATGAAAGTCTATCGTTTTTATCCAAAAAAAAAAAGTGATGGAAGGTGCTCTAAAAGTATGTCTTTATTAGAATTTTTAAGATACCAACTGTTGTGCCAACATTTCTACTAATCAAAATTGGAAGTTTATTAATG